CTACATTAAAAGTTCAAGGAAAAGCAATGCTGATTTTCTGAAACTCCTTCAGCTACTTTCAGAGTAAGGTGAAAAAAGAACAAGATCATTTTATTACATGACAGTTTACCTTGTCAGGGTTCTTGCCTCTCAGTATCAACATTTTAACTCTGAGCATTCTGGGAGGCTGACACAACTCTATTCTGCTACCAAATGCAGCATGACTATATGATATGCCAGTTAATAACTCAACAAAATAGAATTAACTTGAATATATTATAGTAAGCATTCTTTGAGCATAATTCTGATCTATAAAGAAGAAAAAGTGAGTAAAGAAGCTATGTGTGACTTTGCACAGAGAGTTTAAAAAACATGGTCAGATGCAAGAAACTCCTCCTCATCATCACTAACTTCAGGCAGATACAATACTTTGCTTTTGGTGTAATCTGTCATGTCCCTGCATGAATAACTTGAATCAGTTATATGATATACAGGATATGACTGTATACAAAGAATAGACTCTATTTTTTTCCATACAGATATAGAGCAGATGACTCTCAGAGAAATCTTTCAAGAAAGAATGATTAATTAGTAAATTAGAAATCAGTTAGAATTAGAAACTGCATCAGTTTCATAGGCATGGCAGAAAAAAAGAATTTCAAGGAAGAATTTGAAGAGTAACAAGGAAAAGACACATTTAAGGAACTCTATTACTGGTGAGTGGAACAGACAGCACACAAGAAGGGAGGGACCAAAATTAAGGAATTCAAAGCTATCCACCATGACTACATTTCCATGTGTACAATACTGGCTGTGAATGTGTTTGTCTGCCGACCATCATATGATGCTGATGGGAGAAGTAATGGCTCTTAAAAAAATCATAAATAAATTCCCACTCGGGCATCCCATCCTGCTGCCTGTCCACAATGTGATACAAACTCTGTGACCCTCATCATCAAAACAGCATTGCCAGACCAAGACAGGGCTGTTGATGGAAGTGAAAATGAAGGGATTTGCCTCAGTCAGCTGCCATCTCCTTCATTCAGGATTTCTCATAGTTCTTAAGGAGAGCTGCTCCTTCCTGTCAGCTCCATGACTAAAGACAGAAAGAGTCCTCTCTAAACTACCCAATAATTCTTCCAAAGAATTCTTCCAAATTTTCAAAGAAATTTTTGAATAAAGCAATCAGGTGTGCTAGGAGGGTCCCCAAAATGCTCACGATTTTTCAAGGTATCATTATTCTGTCTGATTTTCTTATGGAACATCACTCTTACTCAAAGATTGAGCCCAACTATACACTTATTAATCAGAGATAAATAGGCCATATCTGTCAGTGTGGATATACCTCAAATGAAGTTGTTCTAAATTAGGATTGCAATGTATCTTTTTGGGGAATCTCCTAGGCTATTTCTGAAGCAGCCCACAGGTAGGGAGCCTGGTATTTCCAGGAAGAGGTGGATTCATTTTGCATGCACTAATGCAGATGAAATCAATATATCAGATTGATGCCTCCTTCCTAGGTCACCTGGGCAGTACGCCTGCCTTATCACAATTTTCACACTGTGATCCCAGTGCCTACATTTGCAGTGGACACATTAAGCAGGATGGGTCAAGTGATTACTCCACCCTGGCTTTTTTAGCCTGGAAATTCTGTGTTAATGTAAAAAGTCTGCCTGTTTCAACCAGACAAAACTTTCCAGATGGAATAAAACAGGACACATCTGGGAAAACCTGGATGTGAGATAGCCCAGAGCAATAACTTAGGTGACCATGTCAGCAATCTAATTTTACTATGAAACCAATAAAAGTGTACATAGTACTGTTGGTTTTATTTTCTCTTTTAAAGAATTAATGCTTCTCCCGCTTGATGACATCCTCCATGATATATCCCCTTACAATCTCACAGAAGTGAAGAGAATTACATCTCATGCACTACTTGAACTGCTTTCTTTCTATATATGTCTCCTGTTAAAATGACAGTTGTGACCTGTTACTTGCTGCTATTTTTTCAAATGCTATTCACAATCATTCTCTCTCAGTTATTTCCTTCTTTGCTGGGATGCTATTGCTCTCACCTGAATAAAACTTGGAAAAAAGTAACTTTTGTTAGAGGCAGTTTAAAAAATATACTAAGAGGACACCAATAAAGTCATCAAATGTTACAAAACTGCTTCAGGAGAAGTGTTCTTTTTGGAAGACAAAAGAAAAAAAATCAGCATTACCAGAAGATACATTGTCTCTGAAGAGAAAAAAAATTACCCAATAACTATATTTTTGATGTAATATATTAGCAGGGACAGAAAGGGAGAAGAAATCTGTAAACTTGGTTGAACTTTAGATAGTTAATGCCACTTAATTTTGTCTAAGCCATGTGAATTATTAAATCTACAATTCAGAGTAGTTCCAAAGTTATTTAAGGCCTTTAAAATCACTATCCGATGTACGCCAAAGAGCGCTAAAGATAACTGCGCCTGATCCACTCCCCTTGGCTGTCTGTCCTGGCACTTCCATTCACGGACTTCTCTTCCTTCGCTCTTCAAGCCTGCAACCAGCATCATCTTCTCTTGCCAGAGACACCATTTTTTTTTCTCTCCTAGTTCTCTGATATCCTAAACATCCTCCTTTTTCTTCCTCTCATTTCTTTTTCTGCTGAGAAACATCCATCTGCCTAACAGCCAGCAGCAGCTTGCCAGGCAACACATTCAGTCAAACTCTCTTGAGTTCCACTCTTTCTCTCTCCTTCTTTCCTGGCCTTTCCTTAATCTCCCTCCAATTTCTTCCTATGTGCAATTTTTCTCATTCAACACCACTTATGTCCAGCAGAGGTAACTCATTCACATATATATGGATGACAAAGTCAGCAGCCTGTCTCATTACGGGCAAAACCATGACTTTTAAGACCTGGTCCTACAGATTCTAATAATCCACAGCAGTTTGGGTTTTTTTTTAATTCAAGCTAATAAAACACTTCATAACATTAGCACATTGATCTGTTATCAAATAGGAGAAGATTCAGTGTGACAAACATAATTACAATATAAAGGATATGACTGCCAGCAACTCTGGCAATTATTCAGGTGCTGCTGCTTCCCACTCACATCCACTTTGTCACTTGGCAAACATATTTGACCAGAGCGGTCACTGTAAGGAGCAAGCCCAACCCTCCTCTCACCCCTAGCTTCCAACCCCATGCCAGCCCAGTTTTCTATGAATACAAGTGATGAGCTAAAATTAGCTCTCATCCCTCTTTTTTTGGGGGGTAGTGATTAGGACAAACAAGGAATTTTCCAATTCAGTTCACCATACGACTACACAAAGACCTGGGCTGGCCAAGGGAAGGAAGCAGCATATGAGTGGAAAATAGGATAAATATTGTGGTGGCAGTGCAGCTCAATATTTCATGGAAACATGACCAGACTCCCCATTCATATTCACTGGGGTGTTTCATCTCCTACACAGCCACTACCTTACGAACTACTAAATCTGAGAAATTAAACATTCAAGCAAGCCAATTTACTTTTTCAAGACTCTCTGGGAAAACCAGCATGTGGAGATTCAAGCAGTCATGATCAGACTGCATCCATTAACTGAGATATCTTGAACACCTCTTCAGTTTACCTCTACTTTAACACCACAGCCTGCAGTCTACTGTAAGAACACAAAGGAGAATGAATTAGTCCATAGCTAAAACACCTGTATCATGCTATGCACACTACAACACAACTTCATAAAAGAAGGGTCATAATATCACTGATTTATGTCAACTGATCCCAGTAATATCATAACTGGGCATAAAACATTTGCAGTTATTACCAGCCTGCTCAGGTTTCAGTAGCACATGGTAATTTTATCATCCATTCAGCACTATGCAGCAGAACAATGTTTGTATCTAAATGAGGCATAGACAAGCAGCACATGACACTTAAGGTTCTTGCTCCTGTCCCTTCCCACAGGGCTGAGTCACCAGCCAGGCAGGATTTGGAGAGATCAACCATCTACACAGGCTGATGGGCAAGCACTACATGCCAATTGCAGCTGGAGTGCAGGACTAGTGTGTCACAACACCTGCTGCAAAAGCCCTAGTATTTCCCATTTTTTAACACAGTATTTCCCATTCCTTAACACAATATGTCATCTCACCACAAAGATGTGACCACACATCTATATGGAGTGGAAAGTCATAAAGTTGCAGACAGTAGGATTAAAATATAAGTAGGAGAGCTTTTGAAAAACTGTAATCAAAGTCCCACTAGCACATGACCACAGAGCCTTAGTCACACTTGTGGCTGACCAATAAATGCAGCCACAAGCCAAGCCTACCAACCTCAGTCTCCTATATTCAGGCCTGATCCAAAACCTATTCCCATTAATGACAATCCTTCCATTAAACTCACCAAGTTTTTTGTAACAGGCAAATGTAGCACTCTCCTATGCATTATCTCTCACATCTTTCACATCCTTGTGACAAGGATGCAAGAGTTTAGTAACTTCTCCTTACATCAACAACTCAAGTAGGTAGCTGCAACACCTATGTGGCACATAACACCTATTTTTGGATTTAACAACTTAATTTAAACAACAATTTATTCATAACCTCTGACTTGTAGGAATAAGGTTCACAGTCCTTAGATGAGATTTGTATGTAACTGAAGATATTTGACCTGCAGGTTAACTCTACCAAAGTATTCATTGGTATCTACAGCAATGCATTTTTCGTGTGTTTCTTACAAAAATAAAGAAATTGCTGGGTTTGTTTCACTATTGCTTTAACAAATTACCTAATTTGAGCAAAATTAACAGTGGAATACTTCAAACAACCTGTCACTTAGTGCTTCTCTGCTGAACATCATTTTGTTGAAGGCAGGAATCTGTAAGGCTTGCAGAGATGATTTGTTAGTAGTTTCTTTTAATAGAAAGATAGATAAGCCATCTGGCAAGGAGGATACAGTTCCTCACTTGTTGGTACCAAGGAAACTACTTTTTCCTCCTCTTCTCTCCTTAGTAGAAGATGTTTTACTTACAGCGTCCACTTTGACGGCTGACAGCACAACTTCCATCAGGATCAGCAAAAGCCCCGTATCCCTGCAGGGAAAGGCAAATAAGGACGATATTGTTTTAAGCTAGTGCAAAACAAGCACGTGATAACGCTCTGCAGTTAAAGGTGACAATACGACTTTAAAAAAGTTATTTCCAAAAGCCTACCGAGCGGAATTACTTACTGACAAAGGAAAATACGTGCACTGGGAAGCTGCGAGATGTCCATTTTCGCTCCTTCCCTGGCCGAGGGCTCGGTTCAGGGCTCCCTCCCGCCGGACGGCCACCCCTGCAAGGCAGAGAAGAGCCCGCTTGTAACGCCGCTCCCCCCGCCGGACGTCTCCGGGCTCGGCGACGCCGCTGCCGGAGCAGGGAGCGGCTCCACCGGCCGGGCCGGGCCGGGCCGGGCTCCGCTCCGGGGGCAGCGAGGGCTGTGGCGCACAGAGCCCGCTCCGCTCCGCACCGCTGCGCTGCCGTCCCGTGCCCTCCGGGGCGGCCCCGGCCGTGTGCGGCGAGCCAGCGCCGCGCCTCCCCCTCCGCCCGCGCCCCCCGCGGCCCACCACACACCCCGGCGGGGACGGGGAGGCGGAAGAACTGCGGCCAGCGGGGAACGGCAGCGGGCGAGGTTGCGCCCTCCCAGGGTCCCCGCCCGGAGGGGAGGAGAGGGGGGGCTGCCACCGCCCATCGTGTACTGCGAGTCGAGTCCTTCGCCCCCGAGGCAGTGCAGGCGCCGCGGCCGCGACGGAGGCAAGAGACGCGCATGTGGGGCCGGCCCCGCGGAGCCCCACTCTGAGTCGGCGGCGCCCCGCCGCCCAGGGACCGACGGCGCGGTGCGGTGCGCGGCAGCATGCGGCTCTGGCTGGGCTTCGGGCTGCTGCTGAGCGCCGAGCTCAGCGCCGTGTCCGCCGCGGTGAGTACGCGGGGGCGGCTCCTGCGGGCTGCGCGCTCGGCTGCACACGCGGGACCCTCTCACGGGGAGACGGGGACGGGACGGGACGGGACGGGACGGGATGCGGAGCCGGCGTGGTCGGCGCGGGGCCTCCGCTCTCGGGCAGCCAGGTGCGCTTGGCGCGGATGCGCGGCTGCCCCGGCGCTCCGCGGGGCTGCGCTGCTCCCGGCCCGCCGCGGGTGCGGAGCGGAGGCGAGCGGAGCGGGGCGGCGGGCACCGCGCGGGGATGGCGGCCGGTCCGGCGGGGACGGCCCCGCAGCGCTCTCCCACCGCCCGGCACGGAGCGCCGCTGCCTGGGGAGGGAACAGAAAGCACGCACCCACCCGGGACTGGAAAGTAGCGAGTTGTGTTTCCACGGTAAAAAAAAAATAAAAAAAAAAAATTAAAAAGTAAAAACCCTCACTGTTTATATTAATTATAATTTAGAGTTGGCTGCTTGGATTCAAAGTGCTGTGCACGCTGCCTTTGACCCCCGCGATGGGCAGTAGATGGGGACTGGGAAGGATCCTGATGTTAATGGTTAAAGTTGGATTTTGGCATCATTCCCGATGGGACTAGATTGTGGCATAGACTTTTAAAATCGAAAGCATGCAAGTAGTCTGAAAGTTTTGCTAAGGGAGCTAATTTTATCACTGTGATAATAGCCATTAGCTGTCCTTAAGTCTAAAGGGCTCTCTTTCCTGGCGCTCCTGAAGTATTTGGGCTGTTCATTCTGTACTTCTAAGTAAAGGGCAGTTGACACAATAATTTGAAATAGGCTCTCTTTTTGTGTATCCTTGTTTCCTCGAATTTGGCCCGGTTGATAGTGTATTAGTGAATTTCAGGAGTGCAGAAAACTTGTCAGTAGCTGTAGACACATGGCTTTTTGTCATGCCTCCTGCTATAAATGTAAGATCTTGTATTAGCATTTCAATTAACAGTGGAGGTATGGGAAAGGGTTATTTTAAGCTTTTCTGCAATTTCGGATTAAATTAAGTCTTATAATGAATTTTGATACCTCTGTGTGACCAATGGGACGGTATGTATGTATTGAATCAACTGAAGTAAGCAATGCACTGAACTTCTGATGTCTTGTCTGTTGCTCCTGGGTTGATAACATCAGGCTTACTGTGATTGCAATAAATCACTCAGTGGTGAATCCTCTTAGGCAGTTCACCCATCACTTGCCATTAAGCCATTAAACGGTATTCCCTTAAGGTTATAATTAATTTTAATTAATTAGAGTATTTTGAAGTAAATTATTTACATTTGACTTCTGAATTTGGTATAATCCAAAGATAAAAATACCTATCTGTGAGATACATTCCCACCTTGTGCTGTAAAGTCATTGGGTAAACCATGACTGTCAATGAAAGACACAAAACTATGTAGAGATGAGGTGCTTGTTAAAAGAAGATACAAACTTTAGTATCAGTTGCACAAGTCGAGATCTTCTGTAGCAACTGTGAAGAGGCTCTGTTCTAGAAGTGTCTGGCATGTGCTGGATAAATTATTCCATTACAATCAAAATTTCTTAAAATGTGACCTGGAGCTGTTAATTATATTATGAAGCTATTCCAATAATTAACTGTTCTTTGTGTATAAAGCTGACTGCAGATTTGCAGTTCCTCATCAGTGCCACCAGAAAACACAAGTATGCAGTGGAAGTTGAGCTCCTTGCAGTTTTGTTGCCTTAGATAAACTTTCAGCTGTACATGGGTGGCCTTTCAATCAATTCCGTTCTGCAGGCATTGTCCCCATCTCCACACTGTTGCCTGTCACTAGCAACCACACAAAAGGTGATGGAGATGGGTATGAGCCTGCACCGTACGACGTGTGGGTGGCGATAGAGAGGCTGCTCTTTGGAGATTCTTGAGCTGGGCTGAGGCTTGTGCATGGTTGTGGCAGCGTGGTGTGAAGCACTCTACACCTGGGCAGCACCTCTTCTGCTTTTGGAGAGCTAGTAGAGCTGACCCAGTGCTCACATTGTCCTCAGATGAACGTGTTCCCATTGTTTACACTTAAAGAGTAGTTGTATTAGCAGAAGATTGTGTGGTAGGAAGGGTTGTAGCTCTACTTTTTGCAATAGGCTGAATGGAGCAACCACTTTTCTGCAGGAAAAAAAATCATGTTGGTTCGTTCCTTCTCCAAAGTAGCTTTTATTGGCTCGGGTTTTTGTTTGTTTGTTTGTTGTTTTGTTTTGTTTTGTTTCGGGTTTTTTTTGTTTGTTTTTTTTTTTTTTATTGTTGTTGTTGGTTTTTTTTGTAATGGCAGTTGTGCAGCCACAGTCTTCTTAATTGTACTGTGGCCTTCATCACACAATTGGTGAGGCTGGTGAGCACCTTGGAGATCATCTAGTCCAACCCCCTGCTCAGGGCAGGGACAGCTACAACAGGTTGCTTAATGCTATGTCCCACTGAGTTTTGAGTATGTCCAAGGATGGAGACTGCTCAAGCCCTTTAGGCAACCTATGTCAGCACTTAGTCACCCTCACAGTAAATGTTTCTTCATATGTGCATTGTAGTTGTTCTAGGCTTGAGACCATCCATGCCTGTGAGCACAAGCGTGACAGAAGCAGCTCATGCTGTGTTGGTCGTGGTGATTCTGCAGTCTGTCAGGGCTGACAGTGAAAAATTGTTTTTATCTCTGGCATATCTGTGATTAAATACATACAAGGAGATTTGGAGCGACTGCTCTGACAGAGGCATTTGACGTAGCAAAGCCATCCCTGAGCCAGCTACCGTCACGATCACGTGCCTCAACACAGAAAGAGGGAGCTGCTCTGTTGCAGCTCCCGTTGGTTTTAGCGTGGCACTAGGAAGTGCCTAGAGATGTGACACTGAAAGTTTAGTCTTCTTTATCTTGATCAATTATAATGAAAATAATAATTATAGCTAATCTGGGCTTTTGTGCTGTGCTGCATTCTTCTCAGGAGATTCATTTTCAGGTTACAATGAGAGCAGAGTGGAAGACAGGGCAATAGATTAAGATGTTTCGAGGTCAGGATAAAAGACTACTCCCATGAGATGGTCACAGGAGAAGCTTGTTTTGATGGATCTCTGCAGGGGCTCTCATTTCTGACACTCTTCAGGCTGCCATTTCCTTTGGAGAAAGTCTGTTTCCTAACATCAATACTGCTTGGTTGAGAGTAGACAGTGGAAATGTTTCATGTTTTGGTACCTTGTCCCTGCTGCTGCAGTGCTGGTCCTTGTGCTGCATGCAGTGGAGTGAGATCTTCAGCTGCACTGGAGCCCTGGGTTGAGTCACCTTCCATACAAGAGGACTGGCTGCCACATAAACACAGGTGAAATGGAGGAGCTTTTCTGGCCACCACTGCTCAGCACTGGGCTTAGCATTCTCTCCCAGCCAACCTCCCTTTTCTCCTTTTAGTCTTGGTGAAATGAGTGCTGGGACAGAGCTGAGAGCAAGCTCTGTGGAGCAAAACAGTGATAAAAGCATGCATAAATTTTTCCACAAAGGCAGTGCTGATTCCACTAGTGCTACTTGAGCTGAGAGTGTGGTGGCAACTGGGGATGCACTGGTGGGAGGCCAGGAGGTTCCTGTCCCTGGGTAGGCCCTGTATAAAGAATGGTCTTATATGTGGCCAGGCAGACACAGCTCTGCTCTATTGTCCTCATGCCTTCCTTGCACCACCTCTCCTGTTTTTACATCGTATTTGTGAGTGCATTCTGACACATGCAGTTAGAAGCCAAAAGCAAAAGGAATATAATTGCTTCCAGGTAATCTGACCAACAGTCTATTCTCTTTTCATTAAAAATGTGATTTACCGAGATGGAGATGTAAGGGCACATAAACCAAGAGCAGACAAAGAGAATGACCTGGGCTTTTTGCATGTGGTTGGAGAGCAGTTGTATGACTGAGTCTGAATCACTGGTAGCACTTCACTTGGGTGTGCTTTCACTAATGAAGTAAGGCAAGGTTGGGCAGCTGCCTTCTGCAGCAGTTCATGTCTGGGACTGCCACGTCTTTGATGCTGAGACACCTATTCCCTGAGGTCATATGACACCCTTGCTCCTGAATGTCCTCAAGGACTTGACAACACCAAGAGCACATTTAATAAACCCTGGCAAGTGTTAATTCAGGAGGGAGATATGGTCACTCTGGTTCCAAAAATATGGCCAGAAGGGGAGACCTAAGTGATTTCTAATGAGTGAAGCTCCTCTCAGGCTAGAAGGCTTCAGAGAAAAACAGGAAATGGGTTTGGTTGCCCCTGCCAGGCTATGGTGGGGTGTGGGAATCTGAAGAAGATAAGTGGAGTGCTCCCTTTTCCTCCTGTTGGAGCAAGATATCTTGTCAGGAAGAGGTGTAAGACCTGGGGTGGCTGAGGGTGCACCAGAGAGGGTCATGAGAGCATGGGCAGGAGGGTGGCCTT